AGATTGCAGGAACAATACAATCGTTTTACATGAGAAAGAACTTAATTCCCGAGAGCAAAAGGATTTTATTGTTCTGCCATCTAACCACAGGCAGTCCAAGCTGTATTTTGAGCGAAGACACGTGATGGTGCAAATCCTCTATATAATGTTCTTAGGCAATGAAAGGCAAGAATTTTATTAAATCATGACATCATAGACTTCCAAAGCAACTTTATCATAAAATACTGTACCTTGGCCTGTGCAAGTAGCTGTTGTAGTCTTTGAAATGCAAGCACTTGTATTAATCTTGAGTCTAGTTTACCTAGTTCTGATATCACAAATAGATAAAAATATACGTTAGTCAAAATAAACCATGAACTCAATGTACTTGCTGTGAAGTCTTTTATGGTGGCAAGCTTAGACTGCAAAAAATATTGATGGTTTTATGATTTAATCTAGTTCGTAATCTATTATGATCTTCTAATCCAATCACATACAAAATGAAATCAAGTCTAGGTTCTTCCTTACAATAATTCAGTTATACTCAAAAGCATATAGGTACATGTTTATACAGGGCTCGAAATAGAAAACTTTTTTAGTCTGCCATAGTAAAGGAGCATAGTAAAAGGATTTCATTTCAGTAAAATTTTGCATGCCATTTTATTATTTATTTGACAATGCATCCTTATTTTTGCCTGGCAAACCTGAAATTTGTCTTGTCATTTGGCCATTGGCAGGCCGCTATTTTGAGCCCTGTTATAAGTGCAAATAAAAGTCCTGTATCAGCATTGTGGTGGTATAAAATTGTGGTGTTGAATTTGGAGATGGAAGTAATAATGGATGAAATTTTTCATCTTGTCTTCAAATTCCATCTCTAAATAAGGTAAATGCTTACTAGAACGATATTATAACTCACCGTTAAAGGCATCCACACCTGTTGCCGCACAGATGCTATTAATAGCATTGGCAGTGGCCAGTGGTGTCACTCCTGCTCCTTGAGCTCCTCGCACAGGACTTGACAACACCGTAGAACTTGTAGAGCTAGATGGTGCCGAAGTTGTGGTTGTCGTACAAACACTACTAGGTAATGTAAGAACTGAAGCTGAAGGAATTTGTCCAGCCGTAGTACTTGATGCCAGTCCTATAGTCTTTAATATGCTTCCAGTGCCGTTGCTAAGAACTATTAGTTTTGTTGGAGTATTAGTGTTGAGTTTTCCACTACTTGATGTGGGTAAAGCACTGACGATAGCTGATCCCAGGGCAGTTGCAGCCTTTGTACTAGCATTACCAGCTAATGACGTTGAAACAGGAGACACCCCTGCTACTGGCTTGACTATTCCTACCGTAGACTTTGGTTTTGAATTATTTAATTGAGTCAGGTCATTAATAAGTTTAATTGTATCTATTTGATTTTTATTGGCTTCAACATGATTGACATCCATAGGTTCGTGTTTAAGGGTTATGGTATTGGTATTACTCAAAGCACCAGAGGAGGCCATGGCTGCAATCTGAGAGCTCAGAGAAGATGGTGTGATGCCTTTGGCTGTATTCAAGGGTCCATTCATCTGTGCTTGTAGTTTCGAAGGAGAAGCATAAAGTATAGTTACAGGTTTTGTTACAGTCTTTCCACCACTTGATGTTGTTATTGTTGTGGTAACAACCCTGCTAATGCAAGCATTTGCAACATTACTAGTCGCTGAACTATGTGCTCCAATCTCATTCTTGACTCCATTAAAGACATCCTTTGACAGGTTACTGAGACTAGCTGCAAGAGCATTGACGGCACTTGCTGAGGGTAGGTTTGTAACATTAGAAGGTTCTGATTTAATTCCTGGGGATGTTTCTGATGTGTTTGGTAAGCAGCCTGGAACAAGCAGCTTGTTGGACTGTGTGTTGACAAGATGCTTTGCAATATCACACTGGAGATTCACTACACACTTCAACCACTGAAAGGGAAAACAAAGATATTAACTTTTACAATACTAACTACATTTGCTCTTAATCATAGTATAGTATCCAGTTGATTTGAAATAGTGACATAGAAATGACGTCACTGCAAAACTGAGGTGTCATGAAGCCTGCTAAAAATTGACCATTGAAAAACAAAAACCTGCCCGCCACTGGAATTAAATATAAAACTCATGAATTATTGTGTCTGTCACTGTTATCAAGTGTGTATATGCAACCTTATATTTTCTCCTTTGGTGACCTGAAATTCTGTGATTTCAAGATGAAAAGTATTATTCTGTTTCAAAAATTTTTTTGACTCTCATTGGCTAAAATTTTTTCTCAGATCAGCTGGTTACAGTGTAAGTATTGCTGGCTTTCACTTGACGTCATTTCCCGTCTCGTACGCAATGTTCATCAGCTGAATCGCAAGTTTTCAATAGACTTCTTTCTGGTTGACAGCGCATAGTGGTCAGTGTTTGACCACCATGTGAAGCAGATACCGTAATGAGATTCAAAAACTTTTATTAGCTGAGTGAAAGCCAGCAATAAGTTCACAAATAATGATTGAGAAGCATGCATGTACTGAAAAAATTGTTGGAATGAAATATAATTGTTTCAATTAAAAAAGGATGCTTTTTCATATCTTATGATGGATGTCAGCAATTATGGACTACATCATCATGAATTTTTAGCAATACAAGAACTACCCTTTCTAATTCTACTTGGTTCAGCAGGTTTTTTTTACCTCTTCCTGTTCTTCTGTGGATGGCGTTGTCTGAGGGAGAGAATAAAGTGGTAAAGGTTCCTGCATTTTTCTGATGTGTTCTGGTAAGAGTAAGATTGGTGGTGACTTGTAATGATCTTTGATGGCTTGAGGAACCTGGCAAAACACAAAACTATACAAGGTCAACTTTGGTTCAACTTCAGTAGGATCCATTACACGTAAAACAAGAATTTGGGAAAAAAGGAGTTCCCTAGAACATATTTTATATGAATGTGTTCAATTACAATAATTTTTAATTTCTTAAAACTTCTAATATTTTATCTTTTCTATAACGTACCAAAGAAGCTCTTCTGCCAGAGGGCAAGTGTGCTTTTCTCTTGAAACCTGGATGGTTCTGAAGCCTGTGAAAAAATGATATGATTAAAAACATTTTGATCAATATTCCATGATTGAATTGGAATTTAGAAGTTGAACCACAGGACAAAATCAAAGAGAATATCTAACCCTGTATAACAAAGAGTCTGCAAATTGCACCCGCAACACACTGGTGACAGGTGAACATTCTTGCTGCTATGCTAACTATGCTTTCCTATAATGGATTTAAAACTCAAGGGTAGCATAAAGTACCTGTGTGCTTTCCTCAGGAAATTCATCTTCACTGTATGCTGAGAAATATTGTTTTGTAGATCATTGTAAGCCTGACAACGCTTGGTAAAACGAGGATCTCTCAGACCAGGCTAAACCAGAGGAGAAACCATTTTATCAAATTAACATTCATTCATCCAATACAGCATACACATTTTCTTGCTAAGTGAAGTTGGAATGTTAGTCTATCACAGTTCAACTTCTACCATTTCCTGATACATGGGTGGAAATGCATCAAAAGAAGTGCTTGTTCCAAAAGAACACCATGGAAGCACATTGTAGATAAGCAAGGTCTTGAAGCTTTCACATCCAAGCATGATATTCCTCTGTGCAGTTATGGTAGTAAATACACACTAGAGAACACCATTATCCTACCTGTTTATGCTCAGCATGGTTTGGACACATCCACATTCCTGCAGGTTTGGTCGTAAGAGGAGGGTTAACGCAGTCCATGTGGAAAGCAAGTGGACAGAAGTCGCAGTGAACGAGGTCACTAAACAGTGCTGACCTGAAAGAAAGATGTATATTTATATGATTTATTCACAAATTCTATTATGTTCTATAATTATTTGAGGGCCAAAAACGCATTAAAAAACCACAGTAAACAATGACCACAACCATAAATTATACATAACCTAGGTTTAATGAGCAAAACATAAACAACAAAAATAATTGAACCAAGTTACATATCAGCTAGTTTGAGAATTTATCTCCCTGTCCTATGGTTCTCTTCTTTTTATAAAAATGTAGGTACAATTTTTAGAATTTGATGGGAACAAATGCATTAAAAGATAATGGTAAATTAACACAAAAATCAACTTAAATCCTAATTGGACCTATTGGCTGCTTTATCAATAGGGTTACAAAAGCTGTTAGGCATTAAGCCATCCATCCATGAGTGGTTAACACATTAGATGAGACACAAAGATATTTCATAATCTAGGTTCAATGAGCAAAGCCTCAWCAAAAGAGACTATTTAACTACCCACATGAGCAAGTTTAAAAGCTTATCCCCCTGTCATACTGTTCTGTCCACTTCATAGACATCTAAGTACAGACTAGTTGAAAATTATGTATATTCTAAATAAATGACTAGGCTCAGTACACACCTGCTGCATGAGAAACAAAGTCTGTCTGGAGGCAGACCAGGCTCCTCGTCATCAATATAACTACAATAAAAACCAACAAGTTCAATAATTTAGTACTAATATTACAACAGAATAAAAATATTTTTGTATTATCTAGTTGAATGAAACAAAAATCCTGGAGGCAAGCTTTGAAAATAAAATTAATAAACTCACTAAGGATTTAGAGTGTTTCAGTGACTGTATGTTCAGTCACTGTATCAAGGGTTTTAAGGTTGAGAGTAGATAGAAAATATATATAAAAATAATAAAATAATAAACAAAGTAAACAAAATAAAATAAAATAAAAWAATTTTTTTTTTACCTTGGTGCCAGGCGTTTCCCATTCTTTGGCGGAGGCCCTCTATCATCACAGCTACCCTGTCTTTTCCTGTCACCTGATGGGACAAGATGATTGATAATATTTTTTATTATACATTTTACTCACTATCCTGCTTCTTAATGGACAAGAGTCTTCAGCCAATCCCTGATATCATGTGAACTTCACATGATAAATTTATTATCTGTAGGTTTTTCTGCAGATAGTACATTTTATCATGTAGAGTTCACTCAATGTCATGGCATAGATTTAAATACATTTGCTATTTTTTTGAAAGCACAATTAGGTCTTTATTATTAGTTTACAAAATGTATAATAAGACTAGCATTGCATTCAGTTTTTGCATGGTATCATAAATTAACAAGACCTCAGCTGTTTTATCCACCTCAGCCTACAGCTTCGATAGGTACTGTAACAAAGCCTTGATCTTGATAATTTACAATATCATGCTCATCCAATGATCGTTTAATATTCTTAAATTGCATGTAACGTCACTGCGGCCTCTCAGAGTGTTGGTGCAACTTAACAAAAAATTTCTTATTAGAATCCATTGTTAACGGCACCACAATGGCCATCATGCTTTATCTTTTAACTCCCTTGAGAGTGTTTGCAACACATCAATACGTGTAGAAAACCAAAGGACCACAAATGTGTTAAGAATAGATTACTATTGTTGCACTAATCAAGTGAGGTAGAGAAATACAGGTAGAGGAACATAGGTTATAAAAAGATGTTAATTTTTGCCTGATTTTTTATCTGCCGTATACTGTAGAATTGAGTTCTCATGACTAAGCAGTGGAAATGGTGTTAGTGTTTTTGGATACGAGATTGATGAGAAATCAGATTATTGCAAATGAGATTGAAATCCCATTGGGGATCCTGGTTTTCAGAAAGATGATGGTAAAAAAACTATTTTTCTAACCTACCTGGGAATACAGTATTGCATTTTAATTCAGGAGGAAGAGTAAAAGTCGTTGGGTTTTTCCCTGAGCTCATTTTCACTAGTGTTGAGAACAGCGACTCTGGTTTGGACATTTCTTTAGGCTTTGGTTCTGACACTACTTCTTTATCTTTGGGTTTTTCATCCTTCTTTTCATTCTCTTCTTTTTTCTCGTTTTCCTTTTCTTCACTTCCTTTTCCTCTTTCTTCCACATCTTTCATTTCCTCCTTTAAAGGAAATAAGAGAATATATTACCTTGTATATTTTTACAAAAGAATGTTTCTGATTGAATATGTGAAACCAGCAGGATCAAGGATGCTGTGTCAGCTACTTAAACAATGTACTCACATCCTTGTCTGTTAATCTACATTCAATACACAACCATTCGCCATCAGGAATATCATCTTCTTCTAATGGTGGATCACTGGCATAAAAAAAAATTGTGATTAGATGGTTGCTATTATTTCTAGACATAAAGCTAACAATATCTTCATACAAGGATTGATGGATGGGTGGACTGATGGAATGGTGAGTGGTTGATAGAATCAGATAGATATATGATGGATAAATGAATATAGATAAATGAATAAAAGAACTGATGGTTAGTTGTGTGTGTGAACTTGTTTGACAGATGAGCACAGATTGCCACATGGATGGACACATTGAGTGAAATAAATAAGACAACATCAATAACAGAATGTATAAAGGATTTAAAAATCAGGGAATAAAGTACTTCTCTGCTACTGGTGGAAGACAAAATGCGAGGTACTGGTATCATGAATATAACCACCATTTAAACAAAAATATTTACTAAACATAATATTAAGCACAACAGGATTGAAATAAACCAGTAGCTAATAAGTTCTGGTGCTTAATACCGTGAAAATGTACACCATAAAGACGTTTTATTGTTTGGCTAATGCATAACACAATGGCTTACAAAGGGTCAAAGTAGCTCAGTACTTATTGGAGATTCTACACTAGCTAAGTCTACTTTATACAATCTTTTGTGATGGAAATGTTGAGGACTAAGCTAAGATGGATAATTAACTTGGCATTGCGTCTTAAGAGTCATAGAGAAAGCGGAAAAGAGAAAAGAGTTTTGTGATATTCTTACCAGCAGCTCAGATGAAAGGCGCACGGGCAGCGATCACAACACAACAGATCACCTCCTTCCCCACAACTATCGCAATTGTCGTGATTAACTGTACGTCCAACCTTTCTTGCTTCTTTGTCCGATTTTTTTGTCCTCTTCACAGGTATGGCCGACTGTGGAGGCTGTATTAGGGCTTGGATTTTCTTTGAGAAAAACAAGTAAATAAATTTGTAAATAAACGATAAATAATAATTGGCTTGTCAAAGTTTACGAGGATTTGGATGTGAAAATCAAGAAAAGACGAGCTATACTTACATCCATGAGGCTTCCTTCTGGATCCAAATGGTCGTAATCCATGACGGAGTGTTTTTTCTTCCTTTTCTTACTCTTAACGATTTATAAAAACGACAGAATTTCCTTTAAATTTTGTTTAAAGCGACCCTCACAACGAAAGATTGGGTGAAGATTTGCCCGCCTTCGTTGTTGGGTCAAACATGGAGCTCGTTTTCCAAGCTCAGAGAAGACAAAACGCAGGCAAATTTTACAGCCTGCTAGCCAAATCCCTTGTTATGGCTACTATCTATAAACTTCGTCGAAATATCCAAAAGATACCACAAAAACCTTTTTTAAAAACAAGATAAATAACGTAGAAAACCTTCTAAAACTGAGAAGATAATTAGTAAATTACATTTGCGCATGCGTCAATGCCGTACTTGACATGCGCTTGAAGTGTATTTTGAAGAAAACCGCAGGGCACAATGATCGCGTTGCCTTTTCTGAAAAGAGAAATTCCTTTTTAATCAGAACCTAAGCAGAAAAAATAATCGCTTTTTATCGAGCCTAATTCTTCTTTCTTTCTTACAATAGCATCCTCATTAGTAGAGAGATACATTTTTTTCTCTTTTTGGATTGCTATGATAGAATAAACAATAATTATTGAAAGCTTGACCTGGGAGAGAGAGACCAGAAATGAATACCACCATAGAAATTCTTATTTTAGTGTCGACTGTCAGAAATTTCCTTCGATCGATAAACGCTTTTGATTGGTCAGTGAAGTACAAAGGAAACATATGTATTAAACTATCAAGCTAGGGAGGGGAGGGAGGAAATTGCCTCGTTCATACAATCTATATGAAATTTCACAAATTTCTATTTATTTTATGCGCAAACTGTTGAACTTGATTATAGTCTTTTTTTATGGTTTTCCATCTTGCTTACATTCCTACATACATTACCTAAATTTCTTATTTCGTTTTTTAGCGGGGAAAAACGAAATAAATTTCATTCAACAACCAAGGAAATATAAATCATATAAACATTGTTGGAGTTTGTCAACAACATGAAAATTCCGTGTCAACAACGTCTCGAATTTGTCAACAAAGCCCAGTCTCTCTCACCTCTATCGAATGGTTACCACAGGCAGCCCAAGCTTTGTTTTTATAAATAATTAACTATGAACTGAATGATGTCTGAATGATGAATGAATTTTCGGCAAAATTTCAGTCGAAATAATTCCTTGACATTGAAAGGAAAATGTTGAATTTGAATCATTTTGTCGCGTTGACTGTGACAACTCACACTCTCCCCAGCTCTAGCCGTCCAATCTCTTCCAAAGGATACCCGCATTGGTGAACTGTATTATTATCAGTCACGTTGATTTTATTAATCCTGAAGCTAGACATTAACAATAGCGAAAAGTGTAAAGGGACTACACATTACGTTTTGAATTGTGCAGAGAATGCAGCCTTTACACATCCAAACCCCACTTGTCGAAAGTCATCCACTTTCGAAGATCACTGGATGCCCGGTATTTTTAAAACTCGATAATGTACAACCAGTGTCATCTTTCAAAATACGTGGTATAGGAAATCTGTGTCAAAAGGTGTGTTTTTGTTTCTTTGACGTAAGAAAACTRATAAGATCATGCACTGGATTTATCTTGATTTTCCTTTGAAGGCTGTAGAGGAAGACTGTAAACACATTGTATGCTCTTCTGGTAAGCACATGTTGCAAACCTAAACGTTATTATCTGCTTTTTTTGTTTTTGTTCATTGGTTGTCCCAGCAGATCGTTTTATTGAAAGCATAAAGTATATACAAACATGTATGGAATGCTTAGGTATATGCCAGCAGGTTTGATAGATTAAAATCATCACCATTATCTGACAATCGAACATCATTCTTGGCACAAGGCCATGATGTAAGTTGGTGGTGTTTTATTGGGGAGGGGGGGGAAGGGCAGTTTTCTTAACAATACCCCTCCCTTTCACTCAAGAAGTACCCCCTCCTATTAAAGAACTAGCATTCATCAAAGGTTTTACTGATCATGACTCTCAATGGTCCATGATGTCCTAGCCATCCCCCAAATAAAAGTGTACCTCCCTCAAAGGACTTGTCATTCAAAGATGGGAAGTTATTGTGGGAAGGTGCAGATGCAAGCAAAGTGTGAAGTTTGGAAGACAGAGAGGTTAGCAAAGTGTGGTTTAAATAGGTCAAAGGTYAGTTGAAATATTTACTGGTGCTATAGAGATACAGGGGCTACCTCCCCTAAATATCAAAAAACTGATCAAGAAGTCACCTTGCCCTCTGTTTTCAAGAGCTTTTACATTGTATTTTTTTGATTACAGGTGGAAATGCTGGTCTTGCAGCAGCATACTCAGCAAAAAAATTAAATACTCCCTGTACAATAATTGTACCCACGACGACCCCTCAGTCAATGGTAAATCGGCTTCAAGAGGAAGGTGCAAAAGTTACTGTTCATGGAGATGTAGGTGAACTTTTTCCCCATTGTTTATGAACCAATGTACCTTGGTGTCAGTGTGAATGCTGATTAACACAGGGATCCCATAACTACAGCCAAAAGCTTATTCTTGCATAATCTTGCATAATCTTGCATAATCTTGCTTTTGTTTGACAAGTGTCAAAGGTAGCATTTTGGACCCTGGGGACTCTGTTCCTTGTCATCTTGCTTGGCACTCATTCAGGAATGCAAGAATAAACCTTTAGCACTTTTGCCTAGCTGCCTTATAAGGTGTTTTCAGTAGTGCAAATTGCAATAAGGGCTATACAAATATTTACAGTTCTGCATGTCCTGGTAGTCAGAAAGTCATTCTCCCTGGCTGTGGGCTCAATAGACCTCTTCGGCTTGGGGTAATGTTTTCCCATTTCAGACCATGTGTCATTGCCTTGAGAATAAGATTCTTTGTTTGAGCTGTATCCATATTCATGTGTCTTCTCATGTGCGACCGTGCACAAACCATTTAACAAAGAAATGATGCTCTAGGGAATGACATGTGGTCTGAAGTGGGAAAACATTACGTCAGAGCCGAAGCGGTCTATTATTGACCCTGCAGCCCAGAGTTGAGTTCGCAATAAATTAGAAAAAAAAACTATGTAAGATATATGGAGTTCAGAGCATGAGCTATAAATTTATCCTATGAAACAAACTCTATATATCTCATAGTTTTTCTTTAGATTTATTGCAAGCAAGTTCAACCTGATACTCTCATTTTGATGTATTCTTATTTAGAATACCACTGGACCATGGGCTCGACTGTGATAAGAGCTATTCGGATAAGGAAACATAAGGTTTCTTTGTATGTAGGTGTCATGAAATAATCTTTTGATGTTTCATGTACATATATTTATTACCTTCTGAGCTTTGAACGGCTTTTAATAATATATAATAAAATATGTTTGAATAAGGAAATTATTTTTGGCTTCTCAGGTCTGGGATAAAGCAGATAAACTTGCAAGAGAAATAGCTGAACAACCAGGTATTGATACATAAGATCAAAGTTTTTAATGATAAAATATGTATAATGTACCTACCCATAATCCTTGCTGGTATCAGCTTTGTAGCTTTTCAGTTGGCTAACTTTGTTGAGATGAGTATATGTAGTCTTTGCATTGGAAGAAGGGAGAGGAAGGGGGGCAGGGAAGGAGGAGAAGTCCCAATCCTCCTCTATAGTCTAAATTGATAATATCTTTGGCACTAATTGTCTAACTTATCATAGGCTACACCTACATTCCTCCATTTAACCATCCTGATATTTGGTAAGTTTGACTCTTGCCCGGGGGGGTACTACCACCCCAACTTGGGTAGGGGTGTGCTGCCAGGACCTCAAAACCCTGACCCTAACCCAGATCTAAAATTTTGATTTTACATACCCTACCCCAGACTAAAACTAAGAATTGTACACCCTATCCCAGACTAAAAGACGGAAAAGACAGTTTTCAATAGATTGCAATTAATATTTACTAACATTTTTATTGTTTTTGTGCCGGCAGAAAGCGTAGCCTATTCGCCAGACAAAAATGACCAAATCGTTAACCCTATCCCAGACTAAAATGATACCCTATCCCAGACAAAATGTCAAAAAATGATACCCTACTCCAGACCCAAAAGCCGAAAAGCCATACCCTATAGGGCGGCACATACCCGTACAGCAAATATAGGGGAGTACCCCCCCCCCCAGGGACTCTTGACAATAGTACCCTTCACAGTTCCCTGCATGATCTTGAAAGGTAGTCATGCCTTTGCATCAAAGAGAGATGAATGGTGAGCTTGCAATGATACAGATATGTGAATAATTGTCCAAGGCGTTAAAAAAGGTATCTATTACTGGAAGCTCACCATTTGTCTGGCTTCAATGCAGCAAAGGCATTACTACCTTTCAAGATGGCACATGGAACTGTGAAGGGGACTTTTAATGAGATGGTATATTTTGTCTTTCCAAATAAAGATTGAGTTAAACTGGTAAAAAATAGAATGACAGTGGGATTCAAATGGAAGGACACTGGGAAGATAATGGGTTAACAATAATTAGATAAAATGGATGGAAATAAAATGAGAGTGGGATGAGAATGGGTTAAGAATGAGACGAAAATATGATAAAAATGACATGAGTTTCAAAAGAAAGTGTATCAAGGATGAAGGGATAAAACCTTTTTTCTTGCAACTAGCATTAATGCCACTACAGAAAAATTACAAGCTAGTTTCCAATTCCCATGACTGACAGGGAAGGAGTCGCTACTGTAATCCATGAAGCAGCCAAGGAATTGAATGACATTAAGCCAGGAGTAGTGGCTGTGTGTGTTGGAGGAGGTGGGCTCCTCTGTGGTGTAACACAAGGTCTACACGATGTTGGATGGAAGGACGTCCCTGTTGTGGCTATGGAAACAGAAGGAGCTAGTAGTTTGAATGCGTCAGTAAAAGCGGACCAATTAGTCACATTGGATGGTATACATAGGTAATTTCCATTTTTCATCTTTGAATGACTTTTCTCCTCTTTTTCTATTTTTCTCAATGCTGGGCTAAAGCGATAAGCACGCCATTGTTTTCGCTTTAGTAAGCTAGACGTATCTCAAACTTTAGGAAGATAGAAGGTTGGCTTGTAAGCGTATCTAGGGCTGAGTATCCGCTTTATTTCCAGATTCCTTGCCGGGTAACAGAAGCTACCAGAAATTACTTGCTTGTCGTTTTGAAAAAAAAAAAACGTCAATGACTTAAAGTTGATTAAACTTATTTGTAGTTCAAGTCTAGACTCGGTTTCAGCCGTGAGGTTGTCGTTTTCGGGAGCACCGACACCGCACGGCTGAAAATTGAGCCTAGCTCAAGTCTAGAATAATTGAGAACACTAGTTTTTCTTCGAATAACTTCTAGTGTCGCCAAGACTCTTGGTGCAACAAGGGTTGCAGAAAGGGCTTTCYAATGGACCAAGGAACATAACATCATCAGTGATACCTGTACTGATAAGGAAGCTGTCAGCGCTTGTGAACGGTTTGCAAGTAAGTTTTTCATACCTCTGTATTCAACGGCACAAGCACGGCCTACAAAGGACAGTTTTTTGGACAGCAGGGATTGCTGATTTATAAATTGACACGAAATCGAAGCTCCGGTTTCGTGCGCCTCCGAGCCCACTACCATGTTAGCATAGGAAATGCCACCGTATCAGTTCTCGAAGAATTAATAAAAGATACTACGCGTATTTGATAAAAGTGACTTAAGGTGGTAYACATCCATAAGAAACGCGTTGATTTTAATATAAAAATCGGCGAAATTTTTTGGTTAATCATTCAAGCTGTTAAAATGACAGTCAAACAACCAACAGGAAGTATCTTTTTAGATGACTTATCACGATAAAAATTACTTTTAAAAGCCTTTTCTCTGATCAAGGGTCATACTAACGCGACAGCCATCTTTATTCTCATGAGAATGAAAACCTTTTGTTTTACCCTCATAAATGTATTCTCAAGCGCTTGAATGTGAGGCCACGCATGAGAAAATCTATTTTTTTCCAGTCAACATGGCTGCCACGTGAGCAATGCCCGTGATTAGTGTATGTTAAGGTGCTGGCACACGTTGCAACATTGCATGCAACATTACACGCAATAGGACTGCTGCAGCGTGTGTCTACCACAAACTTGTTGCACGCAACGTTGCATGCAACCAATCTGAATCGCGCTCTACTCTTGCAACATTGTGCGCAACAAATTTCATCATGTGAACATGTCTGCAACATTGCGTGCAAAATCTTGACATTTCCAGCCAATCAGCTTGCACCAAATTTATAACTGCTGACCAAATATCTTAACATAGCAGGCTGACACAAGCGATGCTGCGTGATTTTGTTGCAATGTGTGTCACCCCGATTCAAATTTGCTGCTTGCAATGTTGCGTGCCATGTTGCACCGTGTGTCAGCACCTTTAGATGATGTATTTCTTTCTGTTTCATCAGATGATCATCGGATGCTCGTAGAACCCAGCTGTGGGGCAACTTTAGCTTCAGTTTACGACAACTACTATGAAAAATGGAAAAGAGAAGGAAAACTCCCAAGTGATCTTTCGTCCATACTTGTCGTGGTCTGCGGCGGGAATATGGTGTCCATAGATCAGATATACAAATGGAAAACACAATTAGGAATGCATTAGAATAGGAATGTATGAGATTAAAGAGTAATGAAAGGAAGGAAGAAGATAAGCTTTACTGGATATTTAGTTACTTCACTTGCTTTAGTTACTTCAATTGCTTCAGTTATTTCACTTGCTTCATTTCCTTCACTTGATTCAGTTACTTCACTTGATTCAGTTACTTCACTACTTGCTTCAGTTTCCTGTGGTGTGTTGTAGGTTTCGGTTTATAGTACTACTATTATATTGTTTGCACTCTAACCGTGAAACTTTAGTAATACTAAATAGCACAATTTCATGCAAATTCCACTGTTTTCTATTGTTTAGTTAGCACTATTTTGTACTATTACGCAGCCCGTAAAGTCCTCCACTGGTTTAAATGTAAAGCGCATTGAGATATTTGAAATGCGCTATCGAAGTACCCCATTATTATTATTATTATCATTATTATTATTATTATTATTATTATCAGCAGTAAACACGTTTGAATGCTAATTAGGTAAGCTAGAT